GAAGAATTCATTATTATTAGAGCTACCAATATATAACTATATTACCATTTTGGCGGTTTCTCCGATAACAGGCAGCTAGCTATAAGTTTTGCTGAGGTTGTAAATTATGCTTCCTACAATTAATCCTGATGCTAAAATTTTCAATATCCAGGTTTTGCGCATGATCTGGGTTCCAAGCACCTCCGGCGCCCAAAAAATCTCCGTTCTTCCCCAGTCGATACAGAACAAGGACTACGAAGTTTGCAATCTGTACTGATATTATAATTTTAAATCTTTGAATTTTAAAAAATGCGATATATGAGAATTTACTATTGAAAAGGTGAATCGACTTCAAAAATGAATCATGAAATTCAAATCGATGTTTATTCGCGTTTGATACAAATAATAAGAATGTTTCATTTTAATATTTAAATAGACCTAATGGCTAGTTCGGCCCGACTAGCATTAAGATTTATTAATATTATGTGTTTGGTTATAAAAAAATCTGAGAGACTTTGTACATCTGCATCAATATATCTTTAATTGTATACTAAAAAATAATTTGTTATCTACCACATATTATAATCGTTAACACTGCGCATACAGAATCCTATAATGAACTCACTCATTGTTAGTTTTATCGCAGTTATCTGAAAATAATATTGCCATAACCTATATTAGCCACTCTATTTTCTTCTGAATATTATATATACGAATTACTCATATTATTGCAATTCTTACTCATATTATTGCAAGCGGTCGAAATCTTTGTTACTATGTTTATGTGAAGTTTTGTTTAATTATTAGCGTGATTAATAGTTTCGACAGCTGTTTCATTAACATTTTAAAGTATAAATAATGCTCAGTTGCTGATATGATATTAAAGTGGTATTTATATGTTTATTATTTAAACACTACGAGATATATCGTCGCAGGTGTCCATTGTTTCAATTCCATTGTTTGTTGCCCCATATGTTACCTCGTATATCGCATTTCTTCAAAAGTTCTTGTTTTATCTAGGCTTGCATCTAATGAAATTTTTCCGACTATAACACAGTACCTATATAAAAAGCTATCAGTCAATGTACTTTTTATTGAAGGTATTAGTCCTACAAATCTGCAATTTTTGCAATAAAAACTTTCAACTAAAATTTTTCTTACATTACACGAGTTTTCCAATCATGCTAATAATTCAGGTAAAAAATGTATGCAAGCTCGTAATTGGTAGTTTTGTTTTATGAAACGAATAATATTATTGAAAATTACATATATAATGTGAAATGATTAACTTACAATTTGAATAATTTTATTAAGAAGCTAATGTTGGTTACGACTTCGTTAACTGGGCGCATAACAATTTTCTCATTTATAATCGCTAATTACTGTCAGATTTGAAATTATAAAAAATGTCATTTTGACATTTTGTTAATAGTAAAATTTAAATAGAGTAAAACATAAACAAAACTTTTCTACATTTTTTTATTATTTAATATTACATAAAAATATAAAACGACGGGAATTATTTAACCTTTTGTCATGTGATGTGATGAATACTGACTTAATAACTTCTAGTGTAATCTATATTTTGATATATATTTAATAAAAAGTTATAAAATAATATAATATTGCATGAAAGTAACTAACAATCAAACTACTTATTATCTAATACTTATATTTATACTTTAAATAACTTATATTTGCATATTACGAAATGTATGAAAAGTCTGGATGAAATAATAGTTTGACGCATTTGAAACAAAAAAAAATGTTTAGAAAGATACCAATATATAACTTAAATTAATGTTTATTGTTTTTTTATTTGAGCATATACAGCGTAGGAATTTAGATCAAGACATCAAAAACTATTCTCTATTTCCCAATCTCTATATTTATAAAAGCTTGTTTAATTGTAGATCTATTTTAATAAGTTCTGTAAAATGTTCTATTTAAATATTTTGAATACATATTACCAAAATTAAATGTTTGAGGATATTCGTTTGTTTCTAAAAGTTCAATCAAGAAATAATGTGCATTCTTAATACGTTATCATTCGTGTGAAGAAGTGTTTTGGTCATAGAGCTTATAATAAATATTATAATAATTGTATATTGTATTATAAGGTTAATAAAAAATGTGTATTGGTATGGGCGATACCAAATCAAGTAGTTGCTTTACAATTTTCTATGTTTTTGTTATTAAATGCATTTGGGTACGATAATTATCCTCATTATATATATATATATATATATATATATATATATATATATATATATATATATATATATATTAATATATTTAATACTAGGTATTATAAAGATTTTTGCAGTATATAACGTTATCAACTAATTAAGATTTGTGTATAAACGTTTTTCTATAAATAAAAAAATAAATCATCTGACAATGAGAATTTTTTGTTCAAATTGATTAACCAGCCTTTTAAAATCTGCCATATTCTTTTAATGTTATGGTAGTCAAACTTTTTATATCGATATTAGTATCTTGGATTTCATATACACCTATCAGTGGGCATAATTATTTAAATCTAAAACGAAATCAATTTTATTTTTTAAATAAATATATAAACGTTTGTTGATTTATTATTTGAAATTTATATTAACACTTTCCACTCGCGAATTCCATGATATATATAAACTTTGCCGCCGGAACGGCGGCATCCGAGTCGGAAGAGTTAATATGTGCCTTGTTAAAAATGTTAACTACCGAATCTTGTAAATAACGGAGATATCCTAATTTGTATATTGATTATCTAAAGAAGGATTTACAAAGAATTTTAATGTTTGTCGCCAAATGGCCTGGTCTACAAAGATATAACTTATAAAAATAATGATAATAATGTAATGTTATATTAAATGAACTAAACTACTATACAAAATACAAATGAGAAAAATAATAGGAGGACTTTTCTACAATTCTTTTGCGAAATGAACGAATGCTAAGACCGTGTCCAGCAAATAGCAGGCCCCACTGAGCACGCACAAGGAACCTAAGGCGAGACCAACTTCTCTTTCTGAAGTAACTTGCTGCAAATGGTGCTCATTCATGTATCCGTTCCAATAGTGCAGACCAGTACCTCCTACTGCCAACCACATGAAAGTTCCCACTACGTTCATTATGATATCTGATAGTTCCCTGGAAATATTACGCCTGTCAATTATTTGATTATAGGTTGATTTAAATTCATATTATTAATTAATTAATTAATTAAGGTCATATATTGTGTTTATTGATATGTGCCGTTGATTTTAGTTCCACTTGTTTTGACTTTAACTTCATATCATAAAATACTTTGAAAGTAATTCATATGCTTATCAGATAGTGAGATAGATGCGCCTTATATTCACTGAGTTTAAGGATTTATTTATTATTATTACCTTCCCGTAGGGTAGTTATAGTAATGGGCCGAAAATCGAAAATTAAAATTTTTGCATATCTTCACGTCTTGAAGATTTCTGAATATTTTGGCATACCTCTGAAAAAATGAATGTGTCGTTTTTCGTGCGTACGGATTAACAGACTTGAATGATTCATAAAAACTTTCTGCTTGTTTTGATAAAATAATTGCTTTTGGAAAAAAAATTGATTTCAATTTTTTTCCAAAAAATTGTTTTTGTACATCGAAAATAATTCAAATTTTAATTTTAATTCTGGCTGAAGTTTTAAAGCTCACTTATATTCTTTAAATAAATAATTTTAACTTTGCAATTCAGTTTATATAATTCTTATAAATATTAGACAATGTTATAGTATTTATAATAATCTATTTCAAAATATTTAATATTCCTCGAACATTTCGTTACGGTACACAAAGTTTCAGCAATTTGCCTTGAGGCACGATGCCATACACCACTAGTTTACCAATGATTCTGAGCGAAACTGCGTAATGAGTTTTTGTTAAAATATTTTTGCCGTTTAAAGAAAGGCTGATAAAAGCATGTTGTTCTGCCAAATTAGTATGATTGTATGATTTATGTCCGTCTATTTCCAAAATTTCATTTTGGATGGTATCAGTATTTTTTCATTTTTTTTAATAATTATTAGCAACTGAACTATTATAACAGTTAATTAACTATTATAATAGTTGAACAAAAAACATAACTTAATTGGTGCTACGTATAGATAAAGGAAGAGCAAGTAAATCATACAGGGTGTCCCAGAACTTAAGTACAATCCGAAATGGGAAATATATTATCCCATGCAGTTCGAAAATTATGAGCTTTTAATTACAACTTAAAGCTTTTGTCAAATTATGATCATTTTTTGGTTATTGTGGTTAATTTTTATACATTCAAACTTTGGAAACGTATCGTAATTAACATTTCTAAGACCATAGTCTAAAATAATGACCAAATTGCCACAAGTTTTCTATAATTAAGACTATTTGTTAAATTCGCGACCGTTATTCACCGTGAGGCCTAGAAGGGGATGGAGGGTTGACAACAAATCACGAGATATCACATGGGGTCTAGTAAAATATCAAGTGTATTTATTTTTTACCTCAATTTATAAAGAAAAACATAATTTTAAAAAATCAAATTTTACGACTTTTTGTAGGTAATAAAAATACGCGTGATGATTAATGATTAATGATACCGTGATTAATGGGCGCTACCTATAGTGTCTTGACTAGTTCCATTAAAAATTTGCGCATTTGATCAACATTGCAAAATACTTGTTGGTTTTATAATAAAAAGAAAACGAGTAAAAATAAGCCCATATTTTCTAGCGATTTTCACTCGCAATGAGTTCATGAGTTTTCATTTGCACAAACTCGATGAGCGAGCGGGTTCTGGACACTGAGCATATGCACATAATAGAAGTCAACTAAATATTTATATATTATTACCTTTTGTGTTTAGTGGTACCAAAACAGAATGTCATCAATTGCACAGATGTATAAATGAAATATCCTACGAACACGCCGCTCGCCACTATTTCCACATCTGGATTTTTTTCTTCGTTTAGATTCCATGTCCCACCAATTCCCAGAAATTGACCAGAATAACCAGTACGGTATATAATCAGGATTATCAAGTTTAGAACCTTTAAGAAATAGTTTATGAAGTTATCTAGAATTTTTTTATATATATTATAAATTTAACAACAAACGAAAATTATGTAATTTTCATCAGGTATTTGGCAGGTTATAAGAAACACATAATACACACAAAAGAGACCACTTAGACATAAACATCTTTATTACACATTAATATTAACAAATATTACATTGCTTAGAATCAGTTAGAATCGAATTCTCTCCAATTAGATATTTAAAAATAAAGAGATTTAAATTTAAAATAAATATGTTGGCTAATTTCTTTTGAGGCGTCTCAATAGAAAAATTAGACAAGAAAGTTCATAATTAATTAGGATGATCTTCAATATTTAAGAGGCTTTTATGGCGTATATATTTGATAATTATTTTTACGAATGTGATATGGTAAACATTAATTATATAGTTGGGAAAATATCAGGGAGCTTCATTAATGGGTTTGGGAGTTTTAGATTGTAGTATTTGCATTAATTCAATATTCGACATTACCATCCCCTGGTACCATTTACCAATCTTTCATTTGATTAAAACAACGCTTATTCACATTCGCATAAATTGGGAAAATTTCGTAATTTTATTCTGCATCTCTGCAGAATTAGTTGTCAGAAGACCATAAATATATTTTCTTCATTTTGTATTTTAACTTACCAATAATATTAAAAGAATTAATTTGCAAAGTAAAATATATTTAAAAAAATATGTTTAGAAATAAAACATGAAATCAATTGAAACAAAACGAAACATTCAACGAAGATTCTAAATTCATCAGCAAAACATAAATTATATTTAGGAATTAACTTTTGTGAAGCATTTGTAAACACCTATTATATTTAATTATATTTTTTAATTTTATTTTAAATGTATTAAAATTTTAACATTTTTTAGTATGTTTTAGTAAGAATAAAAAGCTACCTGCTAAATAATGCCATGATAAACGATCATTATTATTTTCATTTTATTAGAATTTTTATCTATTTGTAATTCTAGAACATTGATAAGATAAACTGTTTCAAGTATTTCAACATGGGTGCGTCGATTTTATATTATGACTAACGCATTTAAACAAGACCAAATTCATAAGAATGCGAAATACGATAAGTCACATTCTAAATAATTGATTTTTTGTTATGAGTTTATTGTTTGTCGGTATTGTTTATATTGCATTATATGCAATTATACGTCTGATAAAAGAAATTATAACAAAAATATAATTACGTCTGATAAAAGAAATTATAACAAAAATTATCAAGTAACAGAAGATACAGTTTAAGAATGTATAAAATAAATTATAAAATAGAAATTAAATTATGACAAATGCATCGACAAATAAATTTTAGCTGCACATGTTATATGGTGAATGATTTAGAACATTCAATCAGTATGTAGCAGTCTTTAATTTGTTGCTTTATTGCATTTTGAAATCTTTAGATTCAACACGTAAAGCTTTATTGTTACATACTCACCAATTTAAGAATTTTTAGCACAATACTAGCCACTGTTTGTATTGACACCATTTTGAAAAATATGAAATATTAGCACAAATCTAAATTTAATTCACTAACCACTCACTATTTTTTTTTAATTTAACCTGTTCCTAAATCAATGCCTCAATTCAGTGATGAAAACCACATGAAATGAGCACTTGTTACCTGTGCGTAATTTATCTACGTTTCACTTGATAACAATTTCATAGATAACACAATTACTATCTGTTGGCCGTAAATATTGTGCAAAGTGTACAATTGAATTGACAAATCATTTGAGGAATACAGCTTTTAGGAATGCACTATACAAACTTTAATAGGGTCATTAGCGAGATTTTTTATTTGCAAGAATTCATATATGATTCTTACTATTTCTGTTAAAAAATAATAAGATTGATGAAATTTGAAATGATAATTATGAAACATATTACTTATGATGCATTACTTACCAAGCAATCGAAATCTGGACGAAATAGATCCAAAAATCTAACAATAATGTTACCAGGGTTTAGTCTCCATAACCTTATTAATTATTTTTATATTTCGCAAATAAAATTAGATGAAAAAACTGCTTTTTCTTCAAATAGAATTATATTTGTTGGGTACAGGGCAATTGGTTTCCAGTATGTATTCATTATACGTTGTTGTTCTGCTGTTGTCTATACTTATTTATTTACATATGTACTTTTAGTTACTTTTTAATACTTCAAATTTATTAATCCATAAAAAAAAAATATTACATTCATTATATTATATTAGTCAAAGAATAAAAAATTCACAATTATACTTTCAAATTCTTATCAAATGAATAATGTTTCTCATTGCAATTAATGCTAATAATTAATTATAATAACAATTTTCTTTGCTGCACTAAAAACAAGAATTTTGAATAAGTTTGCTTTTGATTTTATACTGAATAGACAGTCATTTGGTCTTGATAATACTGTCACCTATTTATTGAACACAATTATCTAAACCAATTCTATAGAAATATTTGCGTACAGAAATCTCCAAATAAAAAAATAATTTTTGGAACTATATGGAACAAACCATATGGTTTTTTAATATGTGCAATAATTTCTAACTGTTGTAAATACTTATTTGCAGTTGTTTTATTGTTAACTCCTCCCGAAGGAGAAATCTGTTTTTACTAGAAAATCTAATCGGCTGATTTTATTTTTTTCTAACATAAAGGTTTTGATTCAACCTTTCGTTGACATTTCCTCAAAAATAGCTGCAAATTTAAAATGCATGAGATGCAGCTCGATGTCAAGGGCTTGCGTTGCCGTAAAATTTGTATTTTTTGTCTTTTTGGAATTGCTTTTGATAAAGATCGATAATTAATTGTAAAACAAATTATTTTGATGAGACTTGTATGATGATAAGTCTAAAATTGTATAGGCCTACGAAAAGTGATTTAAATATACTAAGTCATCACATTTTTGAAAAATGGACCATGTCAAAATTTCAAATAATTATCCCCATATTTTTAAAAGTCACTATAACTCAATTTTTATTGATTATATCGATTATTTTTGATTTATACGATTTACACATGCGTAACTTGCCTTATCGTAAATGCTACGTGTAACAAGTTATTAATTTCATATGTTAGTGGTGTGTGTAATATGGTATTAACATAATGCGTTTTTTATATTTTAGGAACTGGGCCTTGCAATAACTGAGGAGCAGATAAAACAGATGGAATCTCATCTCCAAGATATTGATTATCCAGCAGTATCAGCTGAAGAGCGTTTGACACGCCATGATGTTATGGCTCACGTTCATGTTTTTGCTACTCAATGTCCTCTTGCAGCTCCTGTCATTCATCTGGGTGCCACATCTTGTTACGTCGGTGACAACACTGATTTAATGATCATGCGCGATGCTTTGGATTTGCTTTTACCTCGTCTGGCTGGAGTGGTGAGAAGTTTGGGAGATTTTGCTCTACGTCATCGTTCTTTGCCAACTTTGGGTTACACACATCTACAACCAGCTCAGTTAACCACTGTTGGCAAACGAGCAACGTTGTGGATGTCTGACTTGCTGATGGACGAAAGAGCTCTACGAAGAGCAAGGGATGATTTGCGTTTCCGCGGAGCTAAAGGAACTACTGGTACCCAAGCTAGCTTTTTACAATTATTTGCTGGAGATGGTGAAAAAGTTAAACGATTGGATAAACGCGTTGCGGAATTGGCTGGATTTAATCGCTGTTATGCCGTTACTGGACAAACCTATTCTCGTAAAGTAGATTTGGAAATTGTTTCAGCATTAGCTAGCTTAGGTTCTACTGTTCACAAGATGTGCTCAGATATTCGTCTTCTTGCCTCCAGAAAAGAGTTAGAAGAACCTTTTGAAATTACGCAGATTGGATCCAGCGCCATGCCCTATAAACGCAATCCAATGCGTTCAGAGCGTTGTTGTGCCTTAGCAAGACACTTGATATCTTTGCATTCAAATGCAGCTAATACTTTAGCTGTGCAGTGGTTAGAAAGAACTTTAGACGATTCCGCAAACAGAAGACTGACCTTAGCGGAGGCCTTTCTTTCTGCAGATGCCATACTCCTTACTTTGCTAAATGTATGCCAAGGTTTGGTTGTCTACCCTCAAGTTATAGCCAGACACGTTTCTCAAGAATTGCCTTTCATGTCTGCTGAAAATGTGATTATGGCAATGGTGAAAGCGGGTGGTGATCGACAGGAATGCCATGAACGGATAAGAGTTTTATCTCAACAGGCTGGTGCGCAGGTGAAACAATACGGAAAAGATAACGATCTTGTGGAGCGCATCAAGAATGATCCCTACTTTGCGCCAGTTCTCGATAAATTGAATGAAATCCTGGATGCGAGTACGTTTACAGGGCGCGCGCCTGACCAAGTACTGGAGTTTTTGGAAGAGGAGGTGAAACCAATACTCGACTTATACAAAGAGAAACTTGACGAGCAACAGAAACCTATTACTCTCAATATTTAATATCTATATGATCGTTGTTAAATTTCTATTTTTGTGGAACAAGTTGTAAATATATAAATACAGTTACTAATAAATCAAATATTTTATATACTTATTTATTTATTTTATATATTTATTTTCAAGCAAGATATATTTACAATATTATTTAGGGCTGTTTTTTAATTTTCTCATAGAGTCAACATTTTACTAGTTAACATAACTTTTTACTTGCTGGGCAAACACGTTGTTCGATCATAAAATAAAAAAATAAAATCTAATCAATGTTCAGTCAACCTTCAATTTTATCCGTGATGTTAAATTTTCAATTTATTTTAACACGTCTGAATAAACTGATTTTTTTTATTAAATTATAATCTTTTTTCACGTTACTCACAATTAGTAGTATGCCTTTTGAATTTTCATAAAATAAATTTGCACTCACTTTTTCTACTCGTTTTTTTACAATTTACTACGCAATAACTTTGGTGTCTCATTTTATTTAATTTGTTTAAATTTGATGTGTTTTCTTTTACAATTTCATTTGCTAACACAATTTCAATCGATTTGGCTCTATCTATTTTGTGTTTGTTATTAAAAGTAGAAAGGCTTACATGTAAGTTAAATTATTGCGAATTCTTGGGGCAATTATGGTATTTTTTTTACTGTGGTTTTCGAAATGTTATTCGCTGTTACAGTACCAATTATTGACCAAATATAATCCTAAATTTACCAAAGCTCTAGCTCACAATTTTCTGAACAGTTAAGGTCAATTTCTGTTTCTGGGACACCTGGGTATATGTATATATATATATATATATATATATATATATATATATATATATATATGTGTGTGTGTGTGTGTGTGTGTGTGTGTGTGTAGTGATACCCCGCATTTTACGTACTTAATTCGTTCCGGGAAGTTAAATTAATGAAAATAAAATCATTCGTTCTGTATTTTGAAATATGGCCATACATTTTACATATAATTAAGACTAAAAAACTATTACCAATTTGGGAAATAAGCTATCATCAGAGTGGTACTGCTTCCTTTTTTGCCCTTTTAACTTCTGAATATTTAAACAAACTGTCGTTAGTTGTTCTCTTATGCTCTTTTTCAGCACCTACTGCAAATGAAAGGTAAGCTCATCATTATACAAATTTCTGATTTTAGCACCAGTCATGTTTGAAACGTAAACATTTTCGAATACCATTTGACCAAAAGGTCCTTTATGGACTTTATGAACTCAAAATCTGCTAACTGTTTTTTTTTTAGGTTTTTGATAATCCACATTCAAAATTTTTGGGGTGAATTTGAATAGCCCAATAACGAGAGGATTTAACTGTGAGTTTTTTTGCCAACGAGTATATTTTCATAGCGTGACATAACTTTCCAAAGTCCAGTTTTTATACTAATTTGAGCAACATATTTTTGACTGCAAATGACAACGGCGAATACGTTGTGTGAAGCGAAGTTTGTTCTGCGGAACGTTCGCGCTCGAAAAAAAGTTTGTTATGCGCATCGTCCATTGTGCGGGCCGTATGTTATGCGGGGTATGACGGTATATATATATATATATATATATATATATATATATATATATATATATATGTATTTATATATTTTCATGCATTAAAATACGTATCAGAATTGAATTAATTTCATTTTATTTGAATTGAAAATTCGAAAAATTATTTTAAAAGTGAACACAATAATTGAATGTATACCAGTCATTACCATATTCAGCTAAAGCAAATATATAATCATTATTTTTAATAGTTAAAGTACAACACAACATATTTTAAACAAATATTTGGCAAACTGTCATTTTATATTATCAATCCAAACAATCGAAGCATTATGAATTAGTATTTATGAAAACCCAAAAACAGTATAAAAAATCTAAATACTCAAAAAAATGGTATTATTTGTGTGTTACTTCTTAAATTTTCTTTCTTTTATAACGTGCAAATATAAGATTAATATTTTAAGGCAAAATTTGTGCTTATTTTTACGTTTTTTAAAAAAAAAAATATAGTTATGCCAGTTAACAGTTAGTCTGTGGAAAATAATAGTTAAAATGCGTTTGTATAAGATTATATTTATTCATATTTTGAATTTCGCGCCTTTAATATCCAACTTCATGTTATTTTTAGATTCAAAATGGCTGAAGAACTGCATGTTAACAAGTGTCAAATTATGCACTCGAAAATGTGAATTGCATTGCAGATCAGTACCGCGACATTCAACAACGGGCAAGAGTGCGCTCCATGAGTGGACACTTAAGTGATATAAATATATGTTTAATTTTATTTCGTTCAACTAAAGCGAAAATGGTGCGTTTTTGGCTAAGAGTGATAAATAATGCTGAAAGTGGTTAGAGGTTAGAAGTTTTTTCTTCCAATTTGAACGCCATAAAAAAAATTAAGATTAAGAAGGTGTTATGAAAACTGAAGGAGTTTTATTGTGGGATAATATATTTGACATGTACTGCTGGGGAAGTACAATTCACGGGGAATTGGGTTTAGGAGGTGTAGAAAATGAACAGGTCTTTATGCTTCAAAATAAACATATTTTATTAATTCCAATTTTTAATAAATCCGTTCTATCAGGTTCTTACACCTCAACAATTGGATTGGAGTGGAGCGAGTTCTGTTATTGTTGCCGCTTGTGGATATACTCATACATTACTTTTAACATCATCTGGACAAATTTACTCTTGTGGAAGTAATGATTTTGGTCAATTGGGACATGACCAGCCAAGAAAAAGGCCACGTAGGTCAATCTTTAGTATGTGTGCTTTTACTTCTATTCTTTTAATTATTATTTCATTCTAGAAAAATCGATTAGTCTGTACTACAGCACACATACATCGTTATATGTTTTTAATCAGTCACAAAAGTAACTGAACTATATTAATGTTAGATAACTCTTGCTGATTGCCTAATATCGATTGCAAGGAATTTTTTTGATATATTTTATAGAACAAACACTAATATGTACTTCATTTTTTATAAATAAGTTCATTATTGATAAAACACAGTTGCTTTTTCTCAATGTTAGTTTATTTTCCATAAAAGCTATTAGTGCACTTTTATGATAACGCTGACACTTCTAAAAATGTTAATAGAGTTTAGGAAAAATTTAATTTTATGAAATATTATATATTCAATGTTTATTGTGACTATTTACTTTTATTCTGAGTACACATTCAATACGTATAGGAAAACTTCGATAAGATGGTATGAATGTAATAAAATATTTTCAATATGCTTTTACGTAAATTACATCTCTTTATTTTTTGTAGAACTGGTTGATGCTCTTGGAAATTCACCGATAAGACAGATATCATGTGGAGTTGCTCATTCCATGGCTGTTAATGAATGGGGGCAACTGTACAGTTGGGGCTCAGATTTTCATGGGCAACTAGGACTAACAAATAGTGAACCTATCCAGAATTCTCCTAAGATTATAAAGAAATTAGCTCCTAAGCACATTATACAGATATGTTGTGGAAAGAATCATTCCCTTGCCTTAGCTAATAGTAAGAAACTGTTCAGTTAACAATCTTTACTAATTTATTGGTATGATGATGGTGGCCTTCCATAGAATTGTTATCGCTCTATTTTTTTAATGAATGGTGTTCAAACATTAGTGGATGACATTTATTGTTTCATTTCCTTCAAAATTATTTTTGTTCCATTTCATGTATACAAAATAAATCATGATATAAATTTAAGTATGAAGTGAATGTGCCACAAAGTTCAACAATTTTCAATTAGTTATCAATGTATTTTAATATACATTGAAATAATTTTTCAATGGCATTTGTTATAATAGCCTAGTGCTGTGCTATTCGTTTTTTTTTTCGGCAAAATAAATTGATTTAAAAAATGATTTTACATATTTAATGAAAGATGCGTATATTTTTTAATATGGCTTCAATCATAAATAGTGTTCTAATTACAGATGGAGAATTGTTCAGCTGGGGTGCAAATAATTTTGGCCAACTTGGTTTAGGTAATACATCTGAAAAGGTTTCAACTGCAACTCTCATAAAAAGTTTATATGGAATACCAATATCATACATTGCTTGTGGTGGTGATCATAGTTTTGCAATTTCACGGTAAGTTTGATTTGGTATAATATTGTATCCACTAACTGTGAAAAAAATTGATATTTACATTGAGGAGGGTATCCTAGAGCCAAGATTTTTGAAAGACTCTGGAAGCAAACCATATATTACTATTTACTTTTTTACAAGTTATTAATTAATGTTTTAAGAATATAAAAAAGATAAAAATTATAAACAGTTATAAAGTTTTAATTCTAGTAGGTGATGAAATGGAGGGTCTCAAAAAATTGCCATATGACTACATCTAGAATTTTAGCATTGCATATAATCTGAAATTTATTTAATTTAGAATAATGCTGATGTCGTATGAACTATAAACAACTCAAAATAAAAAACTATATAATAGCTATTGCCTGAATATATTTTTTTATACCCTTTGTTTATATTCTTGAATTTTCGGATGACTATAAAGAAGACTGTAAAAATTTCAAGTAAATTAGTCCAGTAGAAGTTGAGAAATTATGGGTGTCGTATTGTAAAATTTAGTTTTGCTGAGGAAGGAAACAGAGAAGGATTGTCATGGTCAAATAGCTATATCTCCGATAATAATTAAAGTTTTGAAAAATCCTCTTTTACACATTTTCTTCAATAATTAAATTTTAAAAATATGCCACAAAATAAAATTGATTTTTTTTTAAATCCTAGACCAAAGTATCCTTAATTAATTTTTATTAGAAACCATTTACATTGTTTAATAAGATTTATTTGCAATAAAGCGTTACTTTGGTTTAAACTTTGATTATTAAGCTTCATTTAAGTATCATTTAGTTTTGTTTAACAATATAGATTGTTTAATTTTTTTATAAATTTTAGTAACATTAATTATTATACCATAGATCTGGTGCTGTATTTGGATGGGGCCGAAATGATTATGGTCAGTTAGGATTAAACGATGAACAAAATCGGTCATTTCCTTGCCAAT